GGCCCACATTAAAACAGATAGTACCTTTTGTTACAGGTATTCACTATATTATAAGAAATGCAAAATTTATCTGCTCCAAGGTGCACGTGGTCCACTCTCGTCCATTTTATGACCATCGTTAAACAGACGATCCGTCCCGCAGAGGACTGATCGTTAAGACACGGTTCCCAGCAGATCACCGAAGTCAAGCATCACTGGCTACGGTCAGTGTGCTGGTGGGTGACCACTTGGATCAGTATGCGTAGGGACCGAGGGTGTGCGGTATTGGTCCTCGTTAAACTGCGCTATCGTAAGGTGCTCGACTTCGCGCGCAGGTCGTCGGGCTACCGAAGCAGGGGTGCCATCCCCTCCGCAGAGGATCAAAATTGTGATGGCATGTCTTCGGATCATTCTCCGGGATGTTTCCCAGACCGTCGCCAATAGCCCATTGAGCAGCTCTAGTGCGACGTAAATTCACAACAACAACAAAAAATGAAATGTAACATATTTGAAATAATTGAAAATTTCGATATTTTATAAACAAAAATTACTGATGCTTCTTCTAAGGTAGAAAGGCTTTATAAAATATGTAACTATTTTGTTGGAGATGAGAATAATCATTTTCCAAAGTACATTTTATATGCATAAAAACAATATTTCTTAACAACAAAATTACAAATAACAGTGACTTAATGACTATGTGGTGCTGTTTGTTGTTGAGTGTTTTTCTTTTGATTAATTGCCATGAATAATTTTAAGAAAGAAAAATAATGAAGCTAATCGCAATTAATATTTTAATAAATTGCATGCATTGTCTTATGGCACTTTAAATGAGATTAAATCTTAACACTGAATCCTACAATAGCCATAAGTAAATATGAGATAAATGTTATTTGAGCGTGAAATTGTTTAATTAACAAACTCTCATTCTTAAGAATGATATTCATGAGTATAACCTTATCCATATGTTTTAATTCCTCTAGTGAACATCATAAATTTATTTTTGCACATTAAGTTAACCTCTTTCAGCATAAATAAATTTCAAGAGAAGTAATTTTTTGGAAAAAAAGAAAAAAAAAGTCTAAATTAACCTTAAACATGATTCAAAGCACTTTATTTTCAAATGAATACTGCTACAAATTGAACAAAAAAGCTCGAAATTAATTTAGTAAAAATATGCTTCCACATCATAGTACATTCCTCAAAGCTGCTATCAGTGCTTCTGGCTTTTACAAATAATGAACAAACCTTAGACCACTATTTTTTAGATAATAAATTGAAAATAACTATGAAAAAAATGAAAATAAATATAAAAAAAATAATTAAAAAAAAAAATTGGAAAATCAAAATGCAATTTTGTTACTTTTCTGTAACATAATATACTGGCTTTTAGAAATTTCTAACTTTTCTATACTCCTCTACTACAAATAAGGTGTGTAAGCTACTTTTAAGACGCCCGCTTGATAAAACTTTTCGTTTGTGTAAGAATTCATATTTCTTTAATCCATGCTAATGAATGAATGTTCATTCTGTATTATGTCGCATAAGTATAATTATTACTACCCCGCTCTGTTACAGAAACTATTTAAAAACTGGAAAATATAATGTTTTAAAACTCTCAGTTCATTCCAAATTAAACACTTTAAAATATAAATAAAAATTATAATTTTCAAACTATTTCTTTAATGTAAATTCTCAATGGTACTTAATAACATTTAAACTCTATGAATAACTCTTATTTATATAAAGACTATAATTCAATACTACTAATCGTTATTCAGAAAAGTAAAATTTTTAACTAATTAAACCTTTGACTAAATTAATTTTATTTTTGAGTTCTGGATTTTTAGTTTCACATAAAATTGCATTTAACAGATATTTTGAAGTTAGTCAAACTTTGATGTAATCATATATGATATGACTTTGAATCAGTACTCAATAGATTTTAAAATTGGTTAAATATTATTGATCTTATTTGTGAGAAATATGTATCCCGATAGCCTAAGTGTTATATACAAGTTATTTTATGCATCTGTTACCGGCAAAGTATGAAATCCGGCATTGTATAAAATGCATAAAGTTAGCCGACAAAGTATGAAATGATTTATATTTCACACATTGCCTAGGCATTCTATAGAATGCCGAATGAGAAACCAGCAAAGTATAAAATACATCTCCGATAAATGGCATTAAAAAATGACAAATTCAAAACTTCATCCGATTTGATATTAATTTATTCGTGGATATAATTACACTTATTCGATATTTTAATACTTACTGACGATAGATAAGAAGAAACATCAGTGTTTGGAGTACCGGGCAATGGCACTTGACCTTAAAAAAGCATCAGTGTAGGGCAGGGGTGTCAAACTCGCGTAATGTAATGCGTGTCAAACTCGCGTATATAATGCTAAATAATTTCATATGCGAATTTTCGAGTATTTTCAAACCTTGCGGTAAATATTCGTAAAATTCAAGCACACCCACTTCAATGAATTTTGCCTTCAAAATTGAATAGTACTGAATCTCAATCACTTCCATTTGCATATAACTGGGTACTGAGTCTATATTTATTGAGAAAATCGAAGAAAACAGACAAAATTTGTCTTCCAAAGAATTAAAATCTTTAAACCTTGTTTCAAAATCTGTTCTAAGATTTGAAATTTTTTTCTGCTTACTTTTGTTACGATGCAGCAGCATCTAAACTAGATTTGTTCTTGTTGCACGTTGGGAAGTGCGTTAAATCTTCATTTTTCAGTTGCCTTTCCCAAAGAAATAGTTTATATTTGAATACTTTAATTATGTCAAACATGTTTGTAATGATCTGATCCTTGCCTTGCAACAATAAATTTAAATCGGATAAGTGTTGGGTTATATCAACCGTATAAGATAAATCTTGCAACCATATTTAATCGGGGAACAGGCTCGTATCTTGATTTTTAGTATGTAAAAACTTACATATTTCTTCTTTCGAATCCCAGAATTGTTTGAGAACCTTGGGGCAAGATAACCAACTTACCTCACGGTAGTAGGATAAACCTGAATATGTACTATCTAGTTGATAGCTTAATGTGAAACGGTCTCCATTTCAGCCAATTAGAATTTTACATTTTCGAGCGTACAATTTAAAATAATCCGCATAGTTTATAAATAAAGTATATTTTAATTTTATATACTGGTTTCGTTTCTAATTCACATTTCCAAAATATTTTTACTTTGCTTNTTCATTTTTCAGTTGCCTTTCCCAAAGAAATAGTTTATATTTGAATACTTTAATTATGTCAAACATGTTTGTAATGATCCGCATGCGGCCCGCGAGTTTGACACCCCTGCCCTACACTGATGCTTTTTTAAGGTCAAGTGCCATTGCCCGGTACACTGATGTTTCTTCTAATCTATCGTCAGTAAGTATTAAAATATCGAATAAATGTAATAACATCCACGAATAAATTAATATCAAATCTGATGTAATAAATATTTCAGACATTCACCGAAGCGACTATGTGAGTGTCAACATTCACCGGTGAAAGTCCACAACCACCGATTTCGGTCATTCACAGTAACATGCACATCATTTACATAATAACCTCACCATACTTTGCCTAAATAGCATTTGGCATTCTATAGAATACCTTGGCATTTTATACAATACCTAGGGAAAGTATGTAATACTTCTCACATTTCATACTTTGCCTGAAAACATCCGGCATTCTATACAATGCCATCATTTCATACTTTGCCGGTAACATATCTAAAAATTGAAAACTTAAAAAAATTATAAATTTCAATTGATTATTACATTTTACCTAACAATAAAAGACAGACAACTTCTGAATGTTATTTACCAAATATAATTTAAATTTTTTCTGTGAAATTTTCATTACAAATAATAATACCAAAAGTCACCACTTGTCTTTTTTTTTAAAGGGGAAAAAAAAACCTATTTAATAATAAAAATACTAGAGCTACTTTTAAAACAGAGTGCATATATCCAAATCCTTCAACAAAAAATAAGCACAACATGTGTTAGAAAAGATTAATTAAATAAAAGATATCACAAATAACTTTAATTAAAAGTTGCTAGAATATTTTTTTTTTATTAAAAAAAACATATTAACTTGAACTCATCATTCTAACGCTAAGAAAATATATAACAATTTATATTTCAGTCAAACATAACTGCTTGTAAATAAAGTAATATAATCCAATAATCAAGGTAAATTAAGACCAACATGAACATGAATGCAAACATTTAGATCCCTATTATTTAAAAAATTTTTTTACCATATACTTCAAAAATATGGTGTGTCAATAGTATCAACAATACTGTATTTAGTCAAATGACATTTCTGAGAAAAGCTTTTACTCCATCATACTACAACAAAAAGGTTACACAAACAGTAAAGTCAGATTATGAAAAATTAAAAACACTTTCTTTAAAAAAATATCTATATATTTAAAGAATGAGGTTTTTCATCAGTATGAATAAAACTACAATAAATTAGATGGACTTTAAGTGAAAAAAAAGGAAAACCTTTAACATAAACATGAATATGGCTTTTAAAATGCATGAACATGACTGTGAATAGTTAGATAATTCTTTCTTGAAAAAGTTTTTTAACATATACTACAAGAATAAGGCTTCTCACCAGTATGAACACGACTATGTCTAATCAGACTACTTTTTAGTGACAAAATGTTATTACATGCAGTACAAGAATAAGGTTTCTTCCCAGTATGAACACGACAGTGTTTATTCAGAGTCACACTATGTGAAAAACTCACATATACTACAACAAGGCTTCTTAGCAGTATGAACATGACCATGTGTAGCAAGATGACTTTTTCGTGAAAAACTCTAATTACATATACGAGAATATGGCTTCTCACCAGTACAAACATGACTGTGTTTGATCAGACTACCTTTTAGTCAAAAACTTTTATAACATATGCTACAGGAATAACGTTTTCCCCCAGTATGAACAAGACAGTGTTGGTTCAGAATCTCTTTCCTTGAAAAACTTTTATTACATATACTACAAGAATAAGGCTTCTCACCAGTATGAATACGACAGTGTTTATTCAGATTCTTTCTTTCTGAAAAACTCTTGTTACATATACTACAAGAATAAGGCTTCTCACCAGTATGAACACGGCTGTGTACTTTCAGACTACCTTTTAGTGAAAAGCTTTTATTACATATACTACAAGAATAAGGTTTCTCACCAGAGTGAACAAGTCTGTGATTGATCAGACTACCTTTAAGTGAAAAACTTTTATTACATATACTACAAGAATAAGGCTTCTCATCAGTATGAACATGAATGTGTTTTTTAAGACTATCTTTTAGTGAATAACTCTTATTACATATATTACAAGAATAAGGCTTCTCATCAGTATGAACACGACTGTGCTTTTTCAGACTATCTTTTAGTGAATAACTTTTATTACATATATTACAAGAATAAGGCTTATCATCAGTATGAACATGACTGTGGTTAGTGAGATAACTTTTTAGTGAAAATTGTTTTTTACATATACTACAAGAATAAGGCTTTTCACCAGTATGAATACGACTATGTCTTGCCAGATTACCATTTTGTGAAAAACCCTTACTACATATACTACAAGAATAAGGCTTCTCACCAGTATGAACATGACTGTGTGCAACGAGAACTCTTTTTCGTGAAAATTTTTTATTACATATACTACAAGAATAAGGCTTCTCACCAGTATGAACAAGACTGTGTTTATTCAGATTCTTTCTTTCTGAAAAACTCTTGTTACATATACTACAAGAATAAGGCTTCTCACCAGTATGAACACGACTGTGTATTTTCAGACTACCCTTTAGTGAAAAACTTTTATTACATATGCTACAAGAATAAAGTTTCTCCCCAGTATGAACAAGACAGTGTTGGTTCAGAATCCCTCTCGTTGAAAAACTTTTATTACATATACTACAAGAATAAGGCTTCTCACCAGTATGAACACGGCTGTGATTTTTCAAACTAACTCTTTGTGAAAAACTTTTATTACATATATTACAAGAATAAGGCTTCTCACCAGTATGAATATGACGGTGTTTATTTAGAGTCTTTCTTTCTGAAAAACTCTTGTTACATATATTACAAGAATAAGGCTTCTCACCAGTATGAACACGGCTGTGTATTTTCAGACTACCTTTTAGTGAAAAGCTTTTATTACATATACTACAAGAATGTTTCTCACCAGTGTGAACATGACTGTGAGTGATCAGACTACCTTTTAGTGAAAAACTCTTATCACATAAACTACAAGAATAAGGTTTTTCACCAGTATCAGTACGATTGTGTTTAGCCATTACTTTTTTCTAAAAAACTTTTATATTCTACAAGAAAAAAAGCTTCTCACTAGGTATGAATATGACTATGTTTTGTCAGATTACTTTTTTGTGAAAAACTCTTATTTTTTATACTATAAGAATAAGATTTTTCACCAGTATGAATTTTAGTGTTTTGTCGAATTTTTTCTGAAAAACTCTTGTTAGAATAACAAGAATAAGGTTTACTTAGAGGATGATACTCAGTCGGAATTAAATTAGGCCCTTAATAACATATGATACAAAAAAGAGCATGCTGTATCAAGTCCCTTATTTTAAATAAATCTTTAATTAAGTAAAATATAATACTATAGAAATATTATCACCTTACAGCAGGCAAATGATTTATTAATAGATGCATCTGGGAAAACATTAATTTATATTATATTGAGATGGTAATGTTTTCTATTTTTCACAAACTAAATTATTTCACTTTATATTAATTTTATCACAAAAAACTGCAGTAACAATGTACAACCTGAAGTATTAGATTAAATTAAATTTGGTATACCATGTAATAAATGCAGTTTTAGAGATAGAGTAAAATTAATGTTATTTGTTATTAGGACATATTATAAAAATGAACACGAAATTATCAAATTTGATTTCATTAGTAATTTATTCACACAGACACGGCAGAAATATAATTCATTATAAATTAAGAAATGCAAAAAATAAAATTGTTTTCACTTTAACAAGCTTATAAGGTTTAACATTATCTATTTTAAAAAACTTTATTTGCCAATTTTTATATCAATGTTCCATCAGGCACAAGAAAATCAAGCTTGTATTCATTACCATAAATATGAGAAGGTCAAAAAAGTTTAATTCTATTATCGAGTATGAAATTGCCTTAACAGAATACAAAAAATATTTTCTCAGTATGAACAGGAAAATCAAAATTTAAATTTGTGTATAAATATCAAATCATATGTGTTTTATGAAAGTGACAGACAGCTTAATTATCTGCAACTGTAATTTTAATCTATTTATAGGTAACTGTTTAATAATGCACTGCATCAGAAGTTTGTTCAATGTGTTACTTTAGCCAAATTATTCTTTTTTGCTTGATTAATTTATCACAATGACTGCTCAAATAAATTATTTCCATATTATGAACTCAAACCAATAAATGAAACTACTTCTGTTTGTAAAGTTTTTAGAACAGAAGTAAAATGTTTTACACTAAAAAAGTATAATTATGAACTACACTTGGAAACTTATAAACACACAAACTAAAAGCATTAAATTTTCATACATGTAAATATTTTTCCGTCAGAACATCATTGCAACTGTAGCACACATTGCACAGATAGTATTTGCTGTTACTATCACAACACAGATTGTTACTATCACAACATAGATTGTTACTGCCAACATAGAATGGGATTGCCTTTAATAATCATATTTCCTTTTGCCAGAAAGAAATGACACACACTTTATGAATAGAGTTAATTGATTATATAAATGGTACAGAAAACGTAATCTTCAAAAAAAAAAAAAAGATTTATGCATGTACAATATGAATTTTATTTATTGCCAGCAAGGAGATATTTTATCATTCATATCAATTTTTTTTCCGTATAAAGAAGATAACAATGATTATCTACAATGATTCCATTACTATGATGATAATTCACTTTACATTTGTAAGATTATGGCTTATAAATTTAATCAAAGTAGGGGCAAATCAAAAACAATTTTTTAAAGCTTTTCTTTGCACAAAAAGGGTGAATTAAAGTAGTCTGCGGTATAAGAAAGTATGTTTCAATAAAGTTTATCACAGCAATTTTTCAACAAATAAGTACATATTTGCGGTGAGAGTAGGTAGCGTTATCAGTTGCCTACTTCAACACACCTGATGTCCAGAATCTTGGGATAGTTTTTAAAAAGTAGAGGAAGCTACTACAGAATCTACTATCAGTAGAGGAAGCTACTATGAGCTTATCCGTTTCTGAAGACAGCATTCATACTGCATTGTAGATTCCAAAGATGGCATGATTGGTAGATTTTTTGGAGAGTAAAGTATTTCACTAATGAAGTCTCGTTTGCATCTCAGAATTCACACACATTAGTTTTTAGAAAGCACTATTTCTGTGTTTTTAAAGACCATTGTCACAATTCACCGAACACACCTCTTCTGATTGCAAACACCACTGATTGATTGGAAGAATGAGAGATTGATGATCCTTTTCTCTCATGTTTGAAAATGCATTTATCACATTCTGTGTCAACACTCCTTAAATTAGAACATATTTGTATACAAAATAGAATTTTCTATAAATTTATATATAATATAGATTATTTTAAGAAACCTATCTTTCACATTAGTGCCTTTAAGGTCGCGTTCCAATGGATGGTGTTTTCAGTTGAAATGTAAACAATAAGGCAGTGTCTATTACACCGACTATCGGTAAGATAGCCTCAGAGCTATCGCGCCGACGTTGACAACAGCGCCACTTTACAGAAACTAATTCATCGGTACAATAGCTATAAGTTATGCTTTTCTACCTGTGTATGTGAAATTGGTAATGGGTTGTCATTGTTTGATGGGTTGTCATTGTTTCACCAACAACAAAAAATTTAAAAATAAAAGAACATTATTTCTTTTTTCCTTAAAGCGTATAAAATTTTTCATAGAATTTTTAAAAACTAAATTATTTATTAACATTATATTGGATTTATTTAAATATATTAATTGTTTCTTTCGACTCATTTATATTTTAATTAATAATTTAAATAAAGTTTTTACTAAAGTACAAATAAAGGTGTCTTTTCCTACTTTTTTTTCTGGTGAAGTATATCTATTTTTTATTTATCATTTATTTCAAAGGGTACCAAAATTTTCGAAATTATTATTTTTCTTTTAATTTATAAATTTTTTGAGACAGTTTTAGGGGCGATAGCTATTACGGTTATTTAAATAAATTATATTAAACTTAATTGTCTGGTTGAAAAATATTTTTTAATAATAATATTTCATAATTATAATTTAAATTCAACTGTTTTTATAATAATAATAATACACTACATAAAGTGACAGAGGAATTAATGGTATACCATTAAAATATATGAAAATATGTTTTGCGATACAGCTTTTTATAATACATCTAGCATTTGAACATAATATATTAATATTAATAGTTATTTATTTTTGTAGAGAATTGTTGGGACTGCGAGAGAAAACATTTTGCCTTATAAATTATTAATGTTATTAACTTCATATTGATCAAATATATTTTATGTAATTTATTTTCGGTGGTTGACTTATAAATTAAATGAAGATTAAATAACTTTTTTCAATAAATTATGTATCCAATAACGAGGATTTAATGGCAAAAAAATTTAATTTTTGTCTTATTTAACTATCAAAAGTAATTAATTTTGCTTAGTCATTTAATTCCAAAATTCTTAGTGAATGACGGATTCCAATGACAAAATCCAACCCATCGTCCAAGAAAACCTCTCACTTGGTTTTATAATGCAAAAATGCAGAGTGGGAGCTCCATCCAAAGACAGATACTTTGAAACCGTGTTTTAGGAATCTATATCTACACTCAACATTTTGTCTTCAGATTAATGTTTTTAAATTTAAAATGATGGGGAAATCATTGGCAATATTTAAAGTGTGCATTCACATTTATAATGCTTGGGCCCAACA